ATTTCCCATACTTACTTTTTACTTGCTTTGTGATGGGCTTCAGCAGTTCCAACCAGACCTGTGATAACATTAATGAAAAAAATGGGTAGGACATGGCATTGAGTGCGGCTTTTTTTTTTTTTTGGTAACTGATAAAAGTCAACGCAAAATAAACAAATACCAAGACTATTTAGACCCCCTTCTAAAGGTAGATAGAAACAGCAGTGTCAAAGAGATGACGTACCTACACCACACTCAATCAACCCCCTTGTATTCTTCCAGTGACAGTGAACGTTGTTGATCTATAAACTCTTTGCTGTTGACATTTGAATCACTGCTCCCCTGCCTAAGTAGGGTGACAAAGGTGTCACATCCAAGGCTCATTAGTTACTACAAAGACTAATGAAGGCATTTGGCTCTGCATTTGAATCCTACTGCCCCCAAATGCCACCTTAATAGATCTAATGAGCCTTTCTGGGAAGGTGCCAGATAACAGATATGCCAATGCAGGACACAGAGAATGTTGGGAGCTGAGAGAGGGGGAAAAAAAGAGCCCCCTGAATCCTCATTGGTGAGGTTAAGAGTCTTCATTGTGGAGGCTGAGGTCCAGCCTCTGGGAAATCAGAACGGATAAAGCAGAGGTTGCTGTTCTCGGGGTGACAGAAGAGGAGCAGAGGGGAGAAGAGTTTGTTCGGTAAACTGAGGTGATTTTAGATAGGCAAGGAGGGAAACTTGTTACTAAATCCACGCATCTTGCAAGGGTTTGAACGCTTTTTCCTTTCTCAGTCAGGTTTGAGCCCTACATACCCAGCCGCAAACTGCATTTTAGAGGTAATTGTAGACACAAAGAACCCTATAATGAAACCAACTTACATTATTTCCAGAATGGCTACAGAATTCTAATCCGAAATACTCCTTTTCAGCAAGATTTAGGTGGCTGCAACTCAGGTTAAACAGCGCCTTCCCGGATGACTTTTGCTAAACAAAACAGAGAGAGCACAGCAGAGTTTGCATTCCTAACCTGATACTGTCAGGCAGTGCGGAAGGAAGGGTAGGAGCCCTCCAACTCTCTGCAAACACTGTTTCTTGTAAGCACCGTTTAGAGGTCCTGCATCCTCTCAGAGGACGATGTTTTACAGATAAATACATGCATCTACCTGTAGATTGTTTTAGGCGCCCCCCTCCCCCTCAGAAAAGCCTCAGACTCGTGACAAACCCTCTTGGAAAAAGAGAGCCTTGCACTCAACTATGGCAAGATCTGCAAATCTACCCTTTCAATGGAATTCTTTAATCAATTCATCCCACAGGCAATTTGAATGATTTCCCCCAAACTGACAGATAGTTTAATCAAGATGCAAATCTGACCTGCTTAAAACCCCTTCTGTGGCTCCCCTCAGGATAAAGTCTATACTCTGGCTCGGGAGGCTGGGCCCTCTCTGCCTCGCGTGGCCGTGCCTGCCCCTCCATCCTCTTCTCTCGCCCCTGCTCCTCGCTGGCATTTTCCTTTCTAATAATCGCAGCCTGCTCTGCCCCACACCTGTCAAGTGGTTTCACACCTCGTGCTTCTGCCCTTGTCATTCCTTCTCCACCTTTCTTTGGCTTGGCTCACTCCTCCTCAGCTCGGAGGCCGTCTTCCCTGGAGAGCTTGCCCTGATCCCGATCAGCGACAGGTTGAGTCAAGGGCAACCTCTGTTCTCCCAAGCACCCTCGCTCACCCCACACGCGGCACTCTTAACCCAGGTGTCTGTCTTCCCCATTCGACTGAGTCCCTTCATAGCAGGGACCTCGCTTCATTTTTCTTGTGACTCACCATGGCTAACTCAGAGCCTGGCACCTACTAGGGACTCTTGAATGTCTGTCGGCCTGACATGACACTGGCCCACTGAGTCACGTGAGTTCCTTGAGTAGACTTCACTTTGCAGCCTTGCCCACCAAATCTCCCACCAATTCATTCACATAAGGCCACACATCATTTCCGCCCCCCACAAAGCCCACGGATACTGTGAGCACGAAACAGCCCCTTTCCTAGGCTTGAGCTTTGAAGCTTTCTCTCGGAAAATCTCTTCTCGAGCAGAGCGCGGCTGGGGCTGATCTCCAGCCGCCAGCGTGGCTGAACCCGAGGGTAGCTGTTGCAGGGAGGACTGTGATGGGAAAATTGGGCCCTGGCGGGTAGGCACAGAGACAGGCCGCTGAGAACCCCTAGTTAAAGCCAACTCACGCGGCGCCCATGGTGCTGCTCAGGAAGCCGAGCGAGGGGAAATGGAGTTGGAAATCACCGACCCATAGAATTTACAGCAACCTTGAGAGGTCAGAGAGTCCAGCCACCCTCCTCCCGCCTTCTACCCTCTCCCTCAAGGCAATGCCACGGCTGCTGAGTGGGGGGGGGCACATCTGGGATTTAATAGCTTCCAGGAAGGCGGCCTACCCCACCCCCTTCCCCCAGCGACCCCAAATCCTCCTCCCCTCTCCCCTGGACCTCGCTCCAGTTGGTTACACCGTCCAAAGCTCCACCGACTCGAGATGCATGTGGGTTAACCAGGGTCCTGTTTTAAAATGCAAATAAGCCGCCAGGGGTGACACCTCCTGCATCCCCAGCACCTGGAGAGAGCCAAGGGGGAGAGAGGTGGTTGGATTTTATGTGCGAGGTCACATTGGAGCTGTGGTCCTGGAGAAGGGGGTCAACCCACACAAAGTTGGGGGTGTGCGCAAGGGCATGAAGGGCATTGGGGGTCAGTGGAGGAGGGGGCGTCTGGGAGGGAGGAGCGAAGAGGGAGTTTTTGCCTATGTGGCAACCTTGCCTAGGGCAAGTGCTGACACAGACCATTCCAGACAGATGAAATCGTTCCTATTTTTAAAGTCCTCCAGACAAGGAGCTGCCACGGGATTTTTATTATGAGAAAAAAAAAAAGAGAGAAGAAGAAGAAGAAGAATTTCTAAAGAGAGATACGACAGCAATACTTTTTCCGACACCAAAGAAACATTTCAGTCATGAGGACCAAATTCCATCATAGGCTTTCAGTTTCTTTGCAAACAATTTAAGAAACTCAGGATTTTCCTTTCTCCTCATTTTTGGATTCTTTTTTTCCATCGGAGTATTTAATCCTCCCCATCAAGGCTGCCACATTCCATGTGTTTGTATATTTAAAGGTTTCTGCTGTCCCAAAGAATATATAGCCATTCTTGTAAGGATTCCAATCAAGGCTTCCTTTTTGCTCCCTTCTGTAAGAGCCCATACCATGTTTATAAGAATAATCTCCTGATTCTTCTATCCTGGCACATGTTGCCAACTGGCTCTTAAAGCCTTTGGCATTTATGCATCTGGAGGTCAGTCGCTCACGTGGCTGGGGCTCTCCACCCCCACCTCGGGAGAGGCATTTCCCTTCAGCCCTCCAGAATGTACGTCGAAACTGGCCAGCCTTGTGGAACGTGTTGCATAATAGGCAAGTTCTTGGTTCTGTCTCAGCGTGCAGGCTTTAATGTTTTTTAACCATTATAATCCAATCCCGCGATTTTTAGGTTGCGATTATTTTTCTCATAATAACTCTTTACATACAACTTTTCTAGACTTTTTTTTTCTTCCCCTTTCTGGACTTTTGATCCTCTCTTCCATCGCAAGTTCTTGTTTAAGCTGACACTGTCAACATTCTAATCAAGCTCTTTAGTGGATCTAAATTCTTTACTACCAGTCCTCCCACTCAAGGAATTGGAACCACAATCCTGAATCTTGTTTTACCTTCTCCCTTGGATTACAGTAGAACAGCGTCCACCTTAAAAAAAATACACACATACACACACAGTTGACCCTCAAGCAACACGGGTTTGAACTACAGGGGTACACTTATATGTGGATTTGTTTTGATAAATATAGTATAGTACTGCAGTATCTCACTACAAATGTGTTGTCTCTTTCTTATGATTTTCTTAATAACATTTTCTTTTCTCTGGCTTTATTGTAAGAATACAGTGTAGAATACACAGAACATACAAAATATGTATTAAGCGATTGTGTTATTGGTAAGACTTCCAGTCAACAGTAGACTAATAGTGGTTAAATTGGGGAGGAGTCAAAAGTTATACATGGATTTTCAACCATGTGAGGGGTCAGCACCCTTAACTCTTGTGTTGTTCAAGTATTATATATATATATATAAAATTTAGAACTTTTTAGAACTTCTATTTATAATCTCCAATTTACAAACTCTGTTTCAATCATAACATTGATTTTTTGGGGCTCCAAACCCCTCTTCTCATGGGAACAACAAATATTCAAGGTGGTTACCTGTACAAAACAATCTACCACAGCCTTTACTCAGCTAGAGCTGTCATAGAACAATTTGTTAAATCAAGCCCGAATTGTAATCCTGCTCCACTCACTTACTAACTGGATGAATCGGGGAAAATCTTTTAGCTCATGGATTGACCTGCTTTTTCCAGGCACCTGAAAACAGAGACCATGTGTTTGAATACCTGGCAGTATGTACAGTGCCCGATAAAGAGTGGACATTCAATAAATGTTTGCTGAATAAATAGATGGATGGAGCCAAACAATTAACTTGATTCCTGTGCATTAGTAAGACAGTTCTCTCAGGAGGAAGAACAAATTAGTCACTGTGTGACTTAGGGCCAATTACTGACTCTTTCTGAGCCTCAGTTTACTCATCTGTAAAATGGAGATAATAGTAGTATTATCTCATAGAGTTGTGAGAATTAAAGAAGATAATTCACATCAAAGCCTTTAGTACAAGGCCTGGCACATCATAGGACTTAAGCAATGCACACGTATAGATAAATGCAGAGAAGAGTCTGGAAAGATACACAGCAAATGTTAATAGCATTCTCCCCGGAGGATAGATTTAAAGGGGAACTTTAACTTTTTACTTTGTGAATAGCTGGATATGTTTTTAATGAGCAAGGACAGTAGAAACTCTCTTAACCAAATTCCACTCAATCATGCACAGAGAATGCTTTACATTCCCTCTTAATTAATTTATTTTTAAGCTTTTATTTTTAAGTAATCTCTACACCCAACATGGGGCTCGAACCCACGACCCTGAGATCAAGAGTCCCACGCTCCCCCGACTGAGCCAGCCAGGCGCTCTACATTCCCTCTTTAAAGTACTGGCAGGGGCCTATGTCATGATGAAAGCCCATGACCACTAGGCTACTGTAATGGTTGTGTACTTCTACACCCATCAACTGAGTTCCATGCTCAATAATAATTATTTTCTTGAAAATATTTTTGATAATTCTACTTGTTACTGTAATCACACAATTATAATTGTATGTACACCAAAGAATCATGAACACTAGAAGCAAGGATTGTTTCTATGAAAACTAAGTTCATCACTTAGCAAAACCTCAGTAGGGGGGAATCCCCAAAACTGTGCCAGCAAATTAGCTTTGGATATGACAGCAGTAAAATACGGGGGGAGAAAACTCCGGAAGGATTCTGTACTCAAATTGCTTTGCAAGCACCCACATTCTTTCTCCACGTTAAGTAAGCAAATACTGGAAATCAAAGAGGGTGCATTATGGGTGTGGTTTATGGAAGAAAGACAAAAGAAATCAGACAGAAGTCCTTACTCAAAAAAGCTTTGACCCTATAGTAAAAGACTGGCAAATGACTAACAATGTATATGTTTTATGTCAAAATTAGAAGTTTAAGGGGCACCTAACTGGCTCCATTGGTAGAGCGTGCGACTCTTGATCTCAGGGTTGTGGGTTCGAGCCCCACATTGGGTGTGGAGATGACAAAAAAAAATGGAAGTTTAAGGTGTCTATGTGTGTGTACTTATTACTATTTTCTGCTTTAACAAATTTTATGGATTAACTGACCAACAACCACCTTTGACCACATTAGATAAAGGAGATTCTAATGTATTTACATCTTGACTGTGTACTTTAAAAAAATATAGACTGTCATTAAGGTTTCAGAAAAGGATGAACTGGAACCAAATACAGCATACTATTAACAATAGCATAATCGATTATTTTCACTTTTTCCTTAGAGTTGTTATATTTTTCAGAGACATGCAATAGGCACTATAAGAGCTAAAAGCATAGTGCCAAACAAAAAGTCTTATATATGCTTTTCCTGTTTCCAGTGCTGATTCCCACACTGAAAATATTTCTCATGTTCCCCGCAGGAAACTGTTCTTGAAGTCACAGGTGGTTTTCACTCGTTCTCCTGACTTTATGGCTATGTCTTATTTTTATCCCAAAATATGACTGGATTAGCCCCGGCTGCCATCACAAAACGCCATAGACTGGGTGGCTTAAACAACACGTAGTTCTCACGTAGTTCTGAGGAGTGGAAGTTTGAGATCAGAGTACCAGCATGGTCAGGTTCTGTGAGGCCTCCTCCCGGCCTGCAGATGGCGGCCTTCTTGCTGTGTCCTCACCTAGCGGAAGGGGAGCTCTCTCCTCTTCCTCCTCTTCTTCTTCTTCTTTTTCTTCGGCCACCAGACCTATTGGATCGGAGCCCTACCCTTATGATCCTATTTAACCTTAATTACTTCCTAAAAGCCCTATCTCCAAACACGACCACAGTAGTCCCATTGGGGGTTAGAGGCTCAACAGACAAATTTGGCTGGGACGCAATTCGGTCCACAGCATTTACCCAGTTGGATGGCCCACTTTAGTCACCCTATCTGCCCTTTATGACTTTGGCTCTTTCCAAACATTAAATCCACTCTCAAATAATGAAGATTTATGAGGCATTTTGGAAAGAATGTGCCTGGTTACAGAAGGCCAAAACAGAGTTCCAAGACGGTGCTGAGTACCTGCAATAAACATGAGGAGGTGGCTAAGAATGGGGCCCTGGAGTGGGACACAACCGGCTGTAGGTCTGCCCTCTACCTGCTAGAGGGATGATCTTGGACAGGCTATTTCATCTCTCTGAATTTCAATTTCCTTAATTGTAAAATAGGATTGTCAGAAGCCAAACACAAAAGGCCATATGTTCTATGATTCCATTTATAAGAAGTGTCCAGGGGCGCCTGGGTGGCTCAGTCATTGAGCGTCTGCCTTCGGCTCAGGTCATGATTCCAGGGTCCTGGGATCGAGCCCCACATTGGGCTCCCTGCTCGGCGGGAAGCCTGCTTCTCCCTCTCCCACTCCCCCTGCTTGTGTTCCCTCTCTCACTGTCTCTCTCTCTCTGTCAAATAAATAAATAAAATCTTTAAAAAAAAAAAAGAAGAAGAAGAAGTGTCCAGAACAGGCAAATCCATAGAGACTGGGGGGGCTTCTTTTGGGAAGAATGGAAATATTCCGGAATTAGATAGTTGTGATGTTTGCACGACACAGTGAGTATACTAAAAACCACCGAACTGTACAATTTAAAAGGATGAATCTTATGGTATGTGAATCTCATCTCAATTTTTAAAAACTCATAGAGAGCACCCAATGAGAATATTGATGTCGAGGGCTTTACACAGTGTCAGGGCCATAGGAAGAGCTCAAAAAGAAGTGTTGACTGTAGGATGACCATCGTCCAAACTGGCACATTTTTGAGGCTTGACAGGGGTACTAGTAATTATTATATTGTCACAACAGGTGTAAACCAGGACCGTCCTGGACGAACGCTGATGTATGGTCATCTAGCTGTTAGCATCCGGATCACCCAAGGGGTCTCTTTGGATGAGGGCAACATTCACTTGAATATTCAAGATCTGGAATATTAAGGATCACACACATAAGTGTAAGTGTCCCCTCATAGAAACCAGTGTGTGTGGATCAGTCCTTCATTGGCAAGTGAATGAGTTGCCTTTGGGGCGTGTTAACACTCTGACCACTTTTTCATAGGTCACACTCCACATTTAACAGCCGCACACACACAAAACAGGAAAACGCCTTCATCAGTCTTAGCCTTCTCCTTAATAAACCGTTTAAAAGCTCATCCCTCACCTCCCCCTTAGCATGTTTTTCTCCATTCTTTATTCTCTTTACCCAATTCTTTTTGTTTTTCTATTGTAATCCACCCCCACCCCTTCCCCTGGCCCAAACTCCGGGCTTACTTCTGATGCCCTTGCCTTTGTCCTTCTATGTTTGCCTTTACTCTTCTGTGAACTTTCTCCCTTCTCTTTGATGCGATACACATTACCGAGCACGTGCTCTGTGCCGGGTACTTTCCCGGGCTCCAGGGCCACTGGAGTGACCTGGACACAGGCATTACCACGAAGGAATACATAGCAGGCTGGCAGGCCAAGCAGGCACATCAACGGGTAATCGCAGTAGCTGGGGCTAAGTGCCCTTGTGGAAGCATGTAAGCAGGGGGTAATATGAGATCACATCCAACGGGCCCCAAACTCAGAAAGATGGGAAAGGGCATAGCGCAATGGATTCCAACTTGTGCGGGGTGGGGGGCGGGGGGGGGGGAGGGACACCTAACCCGAGACAGGAAGCGAGAGTTGGAGTTAGCCAGGTGAAGAGGAGGTTAAGAGAAGGATGTCAGAGGCGGAGATTAGAGAGCCTGGTGTGAACGACACTGCCATGAGGTGTTCCTAAGGGAGCAAATGAGATACAGGGACTGGAAAAGCGGGCGGGAGCCTTACCAAGACGGGCCTTTTGTGCCCGGGAGGCCATAAGCCTGAAGGCCGGGTTTGAGGTGGGGATCGCTGAATGATTTTAAGCGGAAATTAACTTGGTCCGAGCTGGGTTTCAGGCACGCCATCCGGGCAGTGGTTAGGGCAGAGGCTCCCAAACTGTAAAGTGCATATGAATCACCTGGAGATCTTGTGAAAATACAGATTCCGATTCGCTGGGTGGGAGGTGGGGCCTGAGAATCGGCATTTCTCGCAAGCTCCCAGGTGAGACCGGTCCGGCTGCTGGTCTGCCACCTACACCTTGTGGGACAAGGGTGTGAGGAATAGAGGGAGCAGGGGGCAAAACAGGCGACAGGTGGAGCAGGTGAGGCTCCTTTCGCGGCTTGGGGGAGAGAAGATAGGTGGCGGTGTGGACTTTGGCAGACAAGGAGGTGAGGTGTGAGACACGTCTCCATGGCCAGTGCAAGGGGGCTGGGGCAGGCACGGGAGAGTAAGAGACCTGGAGGGCCTGGTGTTCCCTTCGCTTGCCCCGCTTTTGCTTTCGGCCAGGGCCAGGGTTTGCATCCACCACGGCCGAGCTTAGGCTACATTCTGCTGCCTTTTATTCACCCTTCTGCATCGCCCTGCTCATCCTCAACATCTCTTTCTTCACCAGTTGGCCTACCGACCCCATGTACAACAAGGGGCTACCCCGGCAGCTTGCTTCCCTCGCTTCCCACCACTCCTTGCTCCCGAATTCTCCCACCTATCTGCAAGTGGGGGTACTTGGAACATTCCTCACCAATGCCTGCACATACCTGAGCCCCTCCTCAGACACTCCCTACCCTTTGCGCCAGTCTGGAAAGAAAATCATGGCTTGTCATATCAAAAACTTTCTGCCGACATACACTTACAAAATATCTCCTTGACGTTTCATCTCTCTCTCTTTTTTAAAGACTTAATATTTATTTATTTGACACACACAGAGAGAGAGAGAGAGAGCGCACAAGCAGTGGGGAGCGGCAGACAGAGGGAGAGGGAGAAGCAGGCTTCCCGCGGAGCAGGGAGCCCAACACGGGCCTCAATCCCAGGACCCTGGGATCATGACCTGAGCCGAAGGCAGATGCTTAACAACTGAGCCACTCAGGCGCCCCTCAGAAGAGATTTT